TATGAGCTGTGAAAGTTAAGGCTTTAAATTTTTTTAAAATGTCAATTTGCCTTATTTCTATTGACGGCAGCCCATATCACCATTCCTAATTACTCGTAACTAATTAAGTTGTTTAACTTTTAGACGAGATATGATCTTGTCATTTCTGCATTTACGTTTAATGAACTACCGAATGATAATATTAGACAATCTATTTTAGAGTCCTTATGGAATAAAACGGAGGACACGTTGGTAATTATTGATAACTACAATCTTCCTTATTTCAAGTTTGATTGTTCATGCCGTTATTCATGATTTCTTTTTATTTCAGGTGCTGATTGAAAAAGGCACACCAGCTGGATTTAAAATAATTGCTGACGCACGTAAAAAAATTTTGCAAAGTACAGCAAAGTTTCAGATCGAAACAAACCTGCAAATGGATAAACAAGATAATGACACAATACCGAAACTTACAAACTACGGGGCTCATGTTGTAGCACCGGTTAGTCATTAAAACGTGTAATCTTACTACTCTTATATATATTACCATTAAATTACTATTATTATCTAGTGCCCACATGATGGTGAATGTCCCTTGATCGAATCAAGGAACTGGTGTCATTTCTCGCAACGTATAAATAGACCATCATACCTAGTCAGTATATAATTAAGATGTATTTTTTCTTTAGACTTATTCATTCTTATTTATTTTTTTTTAAGATGCAAACAAAAAAGGTAGTAGGGAATAACTATGAAGATTCAAAGTATTCTTATGTTATCCTGAGAAGAGGACCGCGTCCTAGCATATCAGCAACAGAAACATCAAAAAAATTGGAAAAACTAACTCATGATAATACAATAAATACAGAACTCGCTAAAAGTCTGTTTATTCATGCGATCTACAGTCTATTAAACCAGTTTCAATATTTGTGACTATTAATACTCATTATTATTGTTATTGTCGTTTAAAGATTTCACAAATGAAGCCTTTTATTGGGCTCGCTTAATTTTGCCGCCTATTAAACGAAGTGGTCACGTTGTTATGGATTACTGCTCTAATACAGGCAAACTAAGAAGCTGCTTTTATTATTTGCACGTTCTACCTTTGGCCTAACTGTTTTTTAATCACTTCATATAAAAAGGTCATATTGAAAGGATGATAATTCCAAAATCACAAGGTAAAGTTCCTTATCGCGATGCTCGCAAAGCAATGTGGGGTGATCTATTCCCACATTCACCAAAAAAACCTGCTGAACGCAGAAACATTGGAATTGACAAAAAGTATAACAAAGAAGAAATTTATATTATGAACGACATAGAGTATTATGCTGATGAAGAAAATTTACCTAGAAGAAGAAATGTTCCGCGAAAAAATAAGTGATAGAGTAATTCTACTTTAAATAAATCTACTCAGGTTATAAACGCACATTATATTACGTACCGAATTAATATGAATAAAACTATTTGAAGCCACTAAAGACCACATATACTAATTATAAGGTCTTCTCTTAGCGATGCACATGACAAAATACAGTCGTCCCTCATTAATACAGTCAGGGATTTTGCCAAATATGTACAGTGTAGATCACACCTTGTATGGGGTACGTCTAAAGCCGAACTACCCACCAAAATATCTTCCCCAGCATCGCCACCAAAATTTTTCGATCACGTGATAACGCCAAAATTCTTTAGAGTTCGTTTATGTTAGAATTAGGGTCAGACTATCCAAGGAATTTTTTTTGTTAGAGCATGAAAAGCAGTTTCGTTTGTTTTGATTAGTGTTACAAGCCATAAGGTTTTTATCGGCTGGCTAAGCCAGCCGGTAAAAAAATCGGCTAAGCGGCTGGCTA